GGCGGTGGAGTGTGGTAGGTTTAGTTAATAGTATATATATATATATATATATATATATATATCTATCTATCTATCTACCTATATATCTATATGTAATATTTATAATATATGTATATATATATGTGTGTGTGTGTGTGTTGTTTACTTTTGTTTACTTTTGTTATTTTTGCATTGTTTTTTTCTGTCCTGGTGTGTTGGATCATCTGTGCGCGTGTGTGCGTATAACGCACCCACAGATATAGGTGGGTAGACATGCAAAGATATAAATACAACGCCCAATCTATCAACTACATACCAGCTCCCCAAGAGAAACAAAACAATCTGGTCTGTGCTAAGCCTATTCACATGCAGAAGAAAACATTAACTCATTGCTTGTACAAGAACATATTGTGCATACACGTGTGCACTGGTCTGTAGGTGAACAGCACATATGCACCCGTTCGTATATACCACTGATGCACGTATACGCCAGTGTGCCTGACCCAGGACACGATATAGAGGACCGGTCCTAATTGTACTTTAATCTCCGTCCCCTGTGACATTACCCACACACACCACACACGCACCCAAAATATAAACAGGGCAAGGACAGCCGAGCACGCACAGCCCTACACCACGCCGTGTCCAAGGTCAAAGGAGCCAAACAGATGCTCAGGCCAATTGAGGTCCAATTACTCGAGGCAGGTGCAAGTGTAAATGTCCAGGACAAGTACGAACGCACACCACTGCACTACGCATTTGTCAGCACAGACCACGACATGCAGTGTGACTTCCCGCCCAAGCCAGGCAGTAGTACGGGTATGTGGATATATATATATGTATGTATATATATATATATATATATATTCGTGTCATGGACAACCGCAACATTCCAATCATAGTTCAACGGTATCCCCAACATTCTAATTCTAGCTCAATCGTTTATCTACCATTCTAGCTATACTTCAACCACCTACCTACCATTCCTACCTATCCCCACAGTGGACCCCATTGATCTGTTGACTGCGTTCACAGCCACCAGTACATTCAACCTCAGCACACGTGACATGGACAACCGCAACATTCTGCATTTGGCGGCGGCTGTTGGCGCCACTGTGTGCGCCATTTCATTGGTCGAGAGAGACCCGACACTCGCCGATCAGTTGGACTGCGATGGCAACACACCACTCGCGTGCGCTATAATGAGTCAGAGGGTATGAACTGCGAAGTAAAGGTGTATTGCATGACTTATATATAATTGTATGCATATATGTATATTTATTATATATATATATACGCATATATATATATATATATATATGTGTGTGTGTGTGTGTGTGTGTGTGTGTGTGTGTGTGTGTGTGTCATTCTATTGCATAGCTGAAATATAACAACAGCTCGTCAATACTATATAATGACTGCAAATCTCTCAACTCTATTACCAGGCGCACTCGGCTATTCTGCTGATTAGCAAGGACGCCGGCCTGACCCATCCTATCCACATAGTACGCAAAGAGTGGGTGGTCCATAAGCAACCCAAGGCCACCCAAGTAGACAACAACCAAGCTGGACAAGCCATCTCGTTCCCTCGTCCCCCCCAGCAACCCACCCCAAAACGGCAAATACGTATAGTATCGAGAGAGACGCGCAGTCCACTTTACTGTGCACTGGATGCGGGGGTTGAGTTCCAGAGTGTTGCCCGTTATCTGCTGGCGCGTGGGGGTGTGAGTGTAGTGCAGGTGTTGCGAGATCTGTTTGCGTGTGGTAAGTTTCAGTTGGCCCTGAAGCACATCCGCGAGAGCCGCAACAGCGAGGTAGGTATACGGCGTCACGTAGGTGTGACTATTAAGTGTGTAGTAGCAGTAAGGTAGGTATGTGTGTATGTACTAAGTGTGTAATAGTATCGTAGGTACATGTGTATGTACTAAGTGTTTAATAACGTAGGTATATGTGT